GATGGACATTTTAATAATGTTAATTCTTCCAATCCATGAGCAGGGGATGTCTTTCCATTTCTTTGTGTCTTCTTCAATTTCTTTTAACAGTGTTTTATAATATTCTTTGTATAGGTCTTTACCTCTTTTGTTAGGTTTATTCCCAAGTATTTGATTTTTTTTGTTTCAATTATAAAAGGGATGGTTTTCTTGATTTCTTCTTCTTCAGATTTATTGTTTATGTATAGGATGGCTACTGATTTTTGTGTGTTGATTTTGTATCCTGCTACTTTATTGAACTGGTTGATTATTTTGAGTAGTTTTTCTGTGGAGTTTTTAGGGTTCTCTATGTATATTACCGTATCGTCTGAAATAGTGATAGTTTTACTTCTTCTTTCCCTATCTGGATTCCTTGCATGTCTTTCTCTTGTCTTATTGCCCTGGCTAGGACCTCCAGTATTATATCAGTATTATATTGAAGAGCAGTGGTGAGAGAAGACATCCTTGTCTTGTTCCTGATCTTAAAGGAAAGTCCTTCAGCTTTTTGCCATTGAGAATAATATTGGCGGTGGGTTTGTCGTAGATGGCTTTTATCATGATAAGGTATGTTCCTTGTATCCCGAGAATTTCAAGGGCTTTCATCATAAATGGATGTCGGGCTTTGTTGAATGCTTTCTCAGCATCTATTGATATTATCGTATGGGTTTTTTTTGTTGTTGTTGTTGTTGTTGATTGTTGGATTACACTGATTGATTTTCATATGTTGAACCATCCTTGTGCCCCGGGATGAATCCCACTTGATCGTGGTGTATTATCCCTTTGATGCATTGCTGGATTCTGTTGGCAAGGATTTTGTTGAGGATTTTTGCATCAGTGTTCATTAGGGAGATTGGCCCGTAATTTTCTTTTCTTTTCTTTTTTTTTTTTTTTTAGATTTTTTTTTTTTATAGAGGCATGTTTTTTTTTTTTTTATTTGTTTGTTTGTTTTGTTTATATATGCACTGGGTACAGTCAGAAGCGCGGGAGGGTGAGAGAATTCACCAGAGCCAGAGCGGGGAGCAGAGCAGGCAGAAGGGCCGAAGTACACTGCTGAGGGGAGCAGTGGGCGGCAGGAGAGGTCTGCGCGCCATGTGGGACCCTCCTCCGGTGGCCAGGGAGCAGCCGAGGATCGAACCGGCGCCACAGAGGCCGCGGGCAGCTTCGCAACCCAGCGCTCAACCGCTGCGCCACCGGGGAGGCCCTTTTCTTTCTTTTTTTTTTTTTTTTTGTGCTCTCTTTGTTTGGTTGTTGTATTAGTGTAATGTTGGCTTCATAGAATATATTTGGTAGTATTCCTCTTTTTCCATTTTTTGAAAGAGTTTGTGTAGGACAGGCACTAATACACTGCTGAATGTTTGGTGGAATTCATTTGTGAAGCCATCTGGACCTGGACTTTTGTTTTTGGGGAGTGCTTTGATTACTGCCTCAATTTGCTGCTTGTAATTGGTCTGTTTAGGTGTTCTATTCTATTTCTTCTTTGTCTAGCTTTCGATGATTATACCATTCTAGGAATTTGTCCATCCTTTGAGTTGTTGAATTTGTTTGCATATAAGTATTCATAGTAATCTCTGATTATTATTTTGATTTCTACTGAGTCTGTTGTGATTTCTAGGAGAAGATTTTTTTTTTTTTGAGGAAGAATGATTTTTACTTTTTTTAAAATAAATTTTATTTTTATATTCCCCATACAATTGCAACCCCCTTATTTTGACCCCAATCCTTCCCCTCCCCGCCCCCTACTCCCCATAGAGTGTCTCTGGTTCATAGTTTTTTGTTGATTTTGATTTTTATTTTCTTATAGTTATTCATTTTCCTGGTCCCTTATTTAAGTTTTCTAGATTCCTGCTATGAGTGAGACCATCCGGTATTTTTCTTTTTCTTTCTGGCTTATTTTGCTGAGCATGATCCCTTCCAGCGCCATCCATGTTGCTGCAAATTGCATGTGTTTATCTTTTTTTGAATGCTGAGTATATTCATGGTGTATATGTACCACATCTTCTTGATCCAGTCATCTATTTTTGGGCAATTTGGGTTGTTTCCAAAGCTTAGCTATTGTAAACAGTGCTGCTATAAACATAGGGGTGCAGGTGCTCTTTGGAATTGATGTTTCTGTGTCCTTTGGGTAAATACCTAGGAGTGGAATTGCTGGATCATATGGAAGCTCTATGTTTAGTAGGTCAAGAAATCTCCACACAGCTCTCCATAGTGGTTGGACCAGTTTGCACTCCCACCAACAGTGCAGAAGAGTTCCTTTTTCTCCACATCCTTGCCAACATTTGTTGTTGCTAATTTTTTTTTTTTCATTCATGTTTAATTTTATTTTTATTTTTTTTTTTAATAAATTTTATTGTTATATTCCCATACAATTGCAATCCCCCATTCTGACCCCAATCCCTCCCCTCCCACCCCCGCCCCCCTAAAAGTGTCTCTGGTTCATAGTTTTTTGTTGATTTTGATTTTCACTTTCTTACAGTTATTCATTTTCCTGGTCCCTTATTTAAGTTTTCTAGATTCCTGCTATGAGTGAGACCATCCGGTATTTTTCTTTTTCTTTTTGGCTTATTTCGCTGAGCATGATCCTTCCAGCGCCATCCATGTTGCTGCAAATTGCATGTGTTTATCTTTTTTGAATGCTGAGTAATATTCCATGGTATATATGTACCACATCTTCTTGATCCAGTCATCTATTTTTGGGCATTTGGGTTGTTTCCAAAGCTTAGCTATTGTAAACAGTGCTGCTATAAACATAGGGGTGCAGGTGTTCTTTGGAATTGATGTTTCTGTGTCCTTTGGGTAAATACCTAGGAGTGGAATTGCTGGGTCATATGGAAGCTCTATGTTTAGTAGGTCCAGAAATCTCCACACAGCTCTCCATAGTGGTTGGACCAGTTTGCACTCCCACCAACAGTGCAGAAGAGTTCCTTTTTCTCCACACCCTCGCCAACATTTGTTGTTGCTAGTTTTTTTAATATGTGCCATTCTCACTGGTGTAAGATGGTATCTCATGGTAGTTTTGATTTGCATTTCCCTGATGACAAGTGATGTTGAACATTTTTTCATATGCCTGTTGGCCATTTGCATTTCCTCTTCAGAGAAGTTTCTTTTTAGCTCTTCTGCCCATTTTTTGACTGGATTATTTTCTTTGTTGTTGCTGAGTCTCATCAGCTCTTTGCAGATTTTTGTGATCAGTCCTTTATCATTAGTGTTGTGCACAGAAATGTTCTCCTAGTTGGTGGGGTTTCTCTTTGTTTTTGCTATTGTCTCTTTTGCTGTGCAGAAGCTCTAGGAGCAGATTTTTTACACTGAATATTTGTACAGGTGACCTAGATATTTTCTGATATGCTTTATAAGTTTCATAAGTTATATGGGTTAAATAAAGTAAACAGTGGAACCACTCTTAAAAGCATGCCTAGGAATCCAACGCTTAATATCTCCAGAATAAATTAAAGCCAAATGTGTAAGAACAAAATGCTACTTAAGAATAAAAGGATGAGGGCCTCCCTGGTGGCGCAAGAGGTTAAGTCTCAGCATTATGAAGCTATCCACAGCCACTGCAGCATGAGTTTGATCCCTGGCTGGCCAGGGAGTTACCCACATGGCACAGCAGGCCCCTCCTGTCTCACCCCCTGCTCCCCTCAGCAGTGCATTTCAGTCAGTCTGTCTGTTTTGCTCTCCACTCTGTCTCTGGTGAATCCTCTCACTCCTCCCCCCTGCACCTCTGGCCTCTACCCCAGTTCTTGTGTGCATAAATAATCTTTTAAAAAAGAATAAAAGGATGAGATTTTAGATGGGGCATGTTTCTGGAGTACAGTATCAAGCTAACTATCAGAGAACTAGATTGATGCTCATAATGAGTATTCACAGTGTATAAAATCTATTGCTGAAAAGATTATGTCTGTTTTTTCCATTTTAAAATATTTATCAAGAATCTCATATCTCATAACTGGACTAGTAATGGAATTATGATTCTCACAATGGGCAAGAATAATGTTTTTAACTATGTTAAAGCCAATGTGCGGTAATAAATACAAGATACAGTGACTTTAATACTAAACAATTTCGTGGCGCTCATGTAACATTTCTGATATCACAGACCATTGGAAAGCCCTGTTGCTCATATTTATTCAGGAATGTATTTCCTTCCAATTCATTACTCTACCACCTCTTAGGGTTTTTTTTTTTTATGTGTGTGGCCTCTTCATGTTTAAATCTGCATTGCTGCCAAATCTAGGTTTGAGAGGGTTCTACCTGCCCTTTTAAAGGCAGAAGAAGGTGTAAAGAAAACATTCCCACTGTCTCAGTGCTCTAGTGTGAAAGTTATACCCATCATTTTCTCGTACATTTTGTCTATGAGAGCCATCATGTGGCCACACCGGTCTTCTAAGGAGGTTAAAAAATGTTAGATGACTGGGTAGTCATATACCTGGCTGCTACTCTATTAATGCAAAAGAGTGGTGACACATTCTAGTGGACAGCTTTCAGTCTACCACAGGTGGCTTGTCCTCTCTCCTGTTTTATACGTTCTATGGATGTTTCCCTTAAAGCCCTTGTGTTTTTAGTCTTCAGTACACCCCACTTAATAGCCAAGCCTCTGAATAAACTAGAGCTGGACTGCTTGTATTGAACTCCATTCTCAAACATTTAATAACCATGGTTTAGGGCAAATTATATAACCATTCTGAACTTCTCTTTCTTTATCTGTAATATATGGATAATAGTAAAAGATACTTCATTGGACTTTTGAAAGGATTAAATGAGTTCATATATCTATCTATCTATCTATTTCTTAGAACAGTGCCTGGAACATCATAATTGTCACACAAGAGATTGGCACATTGTAAGTGCTATTTATACATGTATTTCCTGTCATCATTATCATCAGGTTTATTGATTGCCCTATATTTAATTTGGATTAGCTTATGTGTACCTTTTAATCTTTTATCTATTCTTTGTGTCACTTTTACTTTTCTTTCTCTTTTTAGATGGGAAGTTTGGGATTAAAACATCACCTAGAAGAATTTCTGGAATAGCTACATTTCCTAGTGAAATGGAGGCTGAAAATACAAGAGATGACTCCTTGTATTCTATTTTGGAAGAACTGTGGCAAGATGCTAAACAGATGAAAAAATATCAGGAACAACAGAACAAACATCTGAGTCATACTTCTTTAATTAATAAGAGAATATTGAATACAGAGTGGAATTATGAATATAAAGACAGTGGAAAATATGTTCATCAAAGCTCAAACCCCATTCCTTCACAGAAAAGACCCCATAAACATAACTCATTTGGAAAGAGTTTTAATTTAGACTTACATATTCGTAGTAAAAATGGTGCAGCAGATAACTTTGATAAAATAATTGGGCAAGGACAAGTTTTCACCCAGAGCTCTTCTTATGGTAACCATGAAAATACATACACAGGAGTAAAATTCTGTGAAGGTAACCAGTGTGGAAAAGTTCTCAGCCTCAAACAAGCACTCAGTCACAATCTGCAATTTCCTGTTGAGGAAAAAGCAAATACATGTGCTGAATTTGAGAAAATCTTTACCCAGAAGCCACACCTCTTTGCACCTCAGAGAACTCATACTATGGAAAAACCTCATGAACTTAGCAAATGTGTAAATGTTTTTACACAGAAGCCACTACTCAGTATATATCTGAGAGTTCACAGAGATGAAAAATTATATGTATGTACTGAATGTGGAAAGGCATTTATCCAGAATTCAGAATTAATTGTGCATGAGAAAACTCATACTAGAGAAAAACCCTATAAGTGCAGTGAATGTGGCAAATCATTTTTCCAAGTGGCATCTCTGCTTAGGCATCAGACAACTCATACAGGAGAGAAACTCTATGAATGCAGTGAATGTGGGAAAGGCTTCTCCCTGAACTCAGCCCTCAACATCCATCAGAAAATCCATACTGGAGAGAGACACCACAAATGCAATGAGTGTGGGAAAGCCTTTACCCAAAAATCAACACTTAGGATGCATCAGAGAATTCATACGGGAGAGAGAGCCTACATATGTACTGAGTGTGGGCAGGCCTTCATACAGAAGGCACACCTGATTGCGCATCAGAGGATACATACTGGAGAGAAACCTTATGAATGCAGTGACTGTGGAAAGTCTTTCCCTTCTAAGTCACAACTCCAGATGCATAAGCGAATTCACACAGGAGAGAAACCCTATATATGCACTGAATGTGGAAAGGCCTTCACCAACAGGTCAAATCTCAATACTCACCAGAAATCCCATACTGGAGAGAAGTCTTATATATGTGCTGAATGTGGGAAGGCCTTTACTGACAGGTCAAATTTCAATAAACACCAGACAATTCACACTGGAGAGAAACCCTATGTCTGTGCTGAGTGTGGGAGGGCCTTCATCCAGAAGTCAGAGTTAATTACACATCAGAGAATTCATACTACAGAGAAGCCTTATAAATGTCCTGACTGTGAGAAATCCTTCTCCAAGAAACCACATCTCAAAGTGCATCAGCGAATTCACACAGGAGAGAAACCATATATATGTGCAGAATGTGGGAAAGCCTTCACTGATAGATCAAATTTCAATAAACACCAGACGATTCACACTGGAGACAAACCCTATAAATGCAGCGACTGTGGAAAGGGCTTCACTCAGAAATCAGTTCTTAGTATGCATCGCAATATTCATACATGAAAGAAACATATCCTGTTTCTTGAAAATAAGAAAGCCTTATCACAGAAGTCAGGTCTAAGTGTATATTATAAATCCATCCAAGGCAGGTTCTGTATGAATACACTGTTTAAGAAAAAGGATTTATCAGGCTACCTCACCTGAGATGAAAAAATTATTTGGAAGAGACCCTCTAAGAAAGCATTGCATGAGAAGGAATCCCCATGTTTGCTTGGCCTCATAAATTATAATAGAATTCATACTGGGAGAAATGCTGTCAATTTGATGGCATTAGGAAAAGCCTTCCTATAGAAAGTATTATAAGGCAAATGGTCACCAAATTCTTTATAAGATGAAGGGTGCAAGATTATGTAAATGATGGTCCTGTTTAATGTGTTATATTAAGCAATTTAAAGTGATGACAAAATGAAAAGTGGAACAAGATAGTATATTTGTTTGTAGACCTGCTCTCAGTTCTGTAAGGCAGTGTGTTTGGGCAGAACATACTGCACAGTAATAGGAATAACTGAATTGAACTTCTTTTTTTGAATTCAATATAATTGTGTATCAAATTTTCCTGCTGAATACTCCTCTCACGCGAATTCACAGTTTTGAAGTCATTATGGTTATATATATATGTACACCTGCTGATATAATTTCACATGAACACATAAATATAATCCTATCACTCATAGTGGTTTCCATGACATGGTATTTTTATCTGCTTACCTTGTGGTACAGTACAAAATAGCCATAGATTCCTGCCATCATTTTCTGATCACCCTCTTGAAATGTTATTTGGTTGTTTCTCTTACTAAGAGGTAGAGTCTTTCTGTCCTCTTTGACTCTGAGTTAGGCCAGTGTACCTTAGCCAAGAGATTCCAAACGAGTCTGGAGAAGTGTGAAAAGCCTGCCTTGAAGTTTACCCTCTCCTGCTGCTCTTTGGAATTATGAGACCTTCATGTAAAGAAACTCACATTACCCAACTATGGGATGAAAAACCATATGGAGCAAAGATGAGGCAACCTGGCTGAGGCCCCTTAAACCAATTGCACTTAGGAATGAGGCCTTCCTTGACCCCCAGCACTGGCTAAGCCAGCCCAGCCCAGAAGAATCACACCAGTTATCCCAACCAACTTGGAGAAATGTGAGATAAATAAAATGATTATTGTTTTAAGCTACTAAATTTGCTGAGTAATACCTTAAAATGTATGCATGTGGGGGGTGTTGTATCAAAACATAAATGGTGGCATTGGCATTGGGCCTGGACAGTAGGTGGAGACTGGAAAAACAGAGGATTACTCTTAAGAACAGCTGGAAAAGATGGCAACCCAGGTTATTTTGTGAGGAAGAAAATAGCAAGACAGTCACCGTGATCTGTGGGAAGATAATGTACTAAGTGAACTTATGGAACAGGCTAAGGGGAATTCCAGAGGAATGTTAGATGTGCCGTTTTGCTGCTTTTAGATGCATGTGATAAGGTACAGAAAATGAAACATAAACGAAAGTCAAACCTGTGCCATTTGCAAGCTGAATTCAAAAGAACAAAAATGCCGGGATTTGATAGGGTGGAAAATAAATGTTTCACATTTCCAGTCTTTCCAGCAATCAGAAATATTTTCAAAGTGAAAAATGGCCTCTGGAGTAAAGATCAAATCACTGTGGGGCTATAGGACCCTTTGTTAAAATGCCTGAAATATTTAAGTTGTTGCTTGGGAAAAGCTAAGTGGCTTCTAGAAACTTTTTGACATTATCCCAGTAGCCTGACACTGCTCAAAGTAGAGAGTGACCTGTCTTATAAAGAATTGTCAATGTGGCGTTTGTGGCTTGGAGTAGATACAAACCAGATTCATACAAAACCTGTAAAGTTTTTAACAGTTTTTACTAGTGAAAAAAATTACCTGCACGTTGGACTTAAAAGGGCTGAAATAATTGAAAATGAAAAATGGCCTCTAAACTCTCCTTTCTAACTTCTGTGAACAGAAAGCAAGTTGAGAAAGTTTCTCAGCTGCAAACACTGGCCATTTCTTATGGGAAAAGAAGGACGTCTCAGAAAGAAGACCAAGAACAACTAGTCATTAAAATGGATTGTGGAGCCATTTCCAGGTAGAACTGTGACCTATTATATATTATCTGCCCTAGGAGCAGGGAGAGCTGACAGCATTTGTTCTATGGGATTTCAAAATTGTTACGGAACAGTGACTTATATGTGTGTCTTCTTCCTCCTGCTTTTCAATGGGGGTATTACAGTTATTTTGTCTTCTCTCCCCAGTGTGTGTGTGTGTGTGTCTGTGTGTCTGTGTGTCTGTGTGTGTGTGTGTGTTGTGGTGGGGGTGTCATGTAACTTGTCACTTAGCTCACAGTTCTCTGGATCAAGAAACTCTGAAACTGTACCCAAGGAACATCAGCCATGTCTGAACCTGATACAGAAGACTTGAGGTTCTGGATTTAAACTTGTTGACATAATTTGGGATGAGACATTTGTAGGTCTTATAATGGGGGTGAACATATTTGCATGATGTGGTTACGTAAATAATTTATGATCAGAAAATTGATTATATTGCATAGAGAAATGTTACATATTTCTCCCATCCCTTTTCAATCTTTATTTCTATTTGTATTTCAAACCCAACCTCAAGTTCACTGATCCTTACGCCCCACCCTGGCTCTGTTAGGTCTACCTTTGCACCTGTTGGAGGCATTCTTCACTTCAGATTATTTTTTATTTTTGGTATTTACACTTGACCCTTCCGGTTTTCATTTTTCTCCTGAAATTCCCCCCATTGTTTCAAGCCTATTGTTCACATTTTCCACTGCACCCTTTGAATGAATCAGTGTTATTTTAAGTTCCCTGTATGATAGTTAACAACATCTAGGTCAGCTGAATCTGGGTCTGTTGATTGCGTTGTCTCTTGACAATGGATTGTTTTCTCTTGCTGTTTACATCTAATTTTTGGCAGAATATCAGATTTTGTATGTAGGACAGGAGAAACTGAGGTAAATATTCCTGGAAATAGACGTGGCTGATCTGATAGGTCACTGATGTGGGGCACTGAGTCTATCTAGTTAGGATTTGGACTGAGTTTGGGCTTTGTTGTTGCTATGGTTACCCTCCGTGTCCACTACACTTCAAATTTCTCTAGTAATTGTTCTGGTTTGCAGAGAATTTGTCTCACTGTTCCTGCATATCGCCCTTGCCTCTAGGCCTTTCCTGGGTGCCTGCCTCCCAGGGAGGACTCTTTCCATAGTAGTAGACTGCTGTGACTGGGTCTTAGTGACCTGATGAGTGGAGGCAGGAGTTTTAGGTTTTAGGGAGATCCTATATCCCTGGGTGCTGAGAGGGAGGCTTTTACAGTGCTCTTGTCTCTCCCACACTGGCAGAAGGCTCTTAATGGTCTGGGTCCATGACAGTTTCCTGTCCTTCCCCCATGAATAGAAGATTTTTTCCTTTTCCCTTCCTTTAGCCACAGTGAATCTTTACCTGTGTTGGGGCAGGGTGGGGGAAGCGGGCTCAGTAGCCTTTGCCACATTTCCCCTAGTAGTTTGAGGCTTTTGTTCTGTGAGGGGGTAGGGTCCCACTCACCTGCCCCCTTCAGACCTATACCTTTAAGAGAGGCTTCCTTCAGTTTCCTGACTTTCTCCCAGTGTTTCTTGTGAGCACCCTGTCTCTCAAGGTATTTAGAGAAGAGCCTGCAAGTGGGAACCAACTACTCTGAGGTCTCTATCTCTTGGGGGCTCTATAGTCTCACAATATCACATAGTCAGCCTTTAGAAGTTCATTAAAAATTCTTGCTGAATTCTTACTGCTGGTATGGTGAGCCCATCTTCCCGCTCTGCCAGAGGTGACCCAGTGCTAGCTTCCTATCTCCTTTGAGGCACTTGCCGCATGTATCAAACTAGTTGGTTGCCCTGCGATCTCTGATGGGTTCAAAAAATGTTTATGATTTTGTAGATTACCCAGATTTTTTCTTGTTATAAGAATAAGAGCTATGTTCTTTCCAGATATCTACACCTAGACAGAAGCCAAAAGTTTGGATGGTCTCCTTTGGCTGCTGCCATCAGAATATATGCCCACTTTCAATGTGACTTTGCCACTTCACTAATCAAGAAGTAGAGTCCATTTCTCCAACCCTTGAAACGGGATTTGGCTCTTTCTTTAACTGATGGGACGTTAGCAAATATGACAGGAGCAGAGACTTGAGAAGTGCTTTACCCATTCTTTCTGCTCCTGCTGTGTAAAAAATCCTAACGTGTATCCTAATGTGTAAAAAAATCCTGTGTTGTGCTAACATATGATAAGAGACTACATGGAACAATGATGAAGCAGAATCATCCCAGTTGAAGCATACCCTAGACCCACCAGATTTTCAACTGTCAGATGTGAATGAAGCCATCGTAGTCATCCAACCCTGGTCAAGCCAACCGTGGCCAGCAGTATTTAGCAATACACCAGCCCCAACTAGAACAGCTCTCCCATTGGTTGCATTCACCCAGACAACTCAATTATGGATTTAAAAAATGTTTATTGATTTATTCCTCTAAAATTTGGGTGCCGTGTTACCCAGAAAGAATTAACTAACACATTTATTCACTGAATTTACTCCTCTACTATTCATCCCCAACAGGTAACCAATAGAGTTGCCCTTCAGGGTCATTGGTTCCAGGATGACCATAGATAACAAAATCTGTGACACACAAGTCCCTTATATAAAGTGGTATAATATTTGTGTATAACTTACACACATCCTCCCATGTACTGTAAATTACCTCTAGATTATAATACCTAATACAATGTAAATTCTATGTAAATAGTTGTTGTACTGTGTTTAGGGAATAACAAGAAAAAAGCTTGTGCATGTTCAAAGATATAACCATCACAGGCCTAACGACACAGTATTTGTTTTCAATCAGCAGTTGGTTGAATCTGTCGTTTCAAAATCTGCAGATACAGAGGGCAACTGTACTGATCAACTATTATGAACACTTTCACGCTTTACTCTGTGCTTATAAGTATATATAGGCATGCATATATTACAATGCTTGTAATCATATAGAAGCTCCATAGAATTTTCTTCTTTAATATCCAAGTATGGGATCATGTCATACAACCATCTCTGCATCTTGCTTTATTACTCAACAATAACTTGAATAACTGCATGATAGTGCCTAGGATGGATAGACAATAATTTAGTTAGCCATTTGCATATTAAAATTTATTCACGTACCCCTCAAGGTTTTTGTCATTGGGAGCAATGCTGTTAAAAATATTACAAAACAATGTGCATAATGATTAAGTAGATATTTTCAAGAACCAGTGTGTTGGGGTGTAAATCCTGGTTCTGTCAGTCACTAGCCATGTAACCTTGGGTAGGTTAGTTAACCTCTGACCCAGTTTCTTCAGCTGTGAACACACTAGGGCCTAGCTCATAGATTTGGCATGAAAAATGTATGAGCTGCCTGGGGCTGAGTAAATGAGTGGCTTAAAGCAACAGAAATATATTGGCTCACCCTTCTGGAGGCAAGAGGTCTGAGGTCAAATCGTGAGCAGGGCCACATGCCCTCTGAAGGCACTAGAAAGGAAACTATTCCATTCCTCTCCTAGTTTCTGGTAGCCTCAGGGATTCCTTGCCTTGTAGATAGAGGCGTTACTCCAGTCACAGGATTTTTTTTTCTCGCTTGTGTCTTCACATTGTATTCCCGCTGCATGTTTATCTGTATCCAAAATGCCCCTTTTTATAAGGACACTAGTCACATTGGATTAGGCACACCCAAGTGGCCCATTTTAACTTGGTTATGTCTGCAAAGACTATTTCCAAATAAGTTCCCATTCTGAGGTACTGAGGCTTAGGATTTCAACCTATCTCTTTGCAGATATGAAGGAAATCTATGCATATTTCCATGTAAGCACTCAGAATTATGCATAAAGAGAAGTTCTTGATGAATATTAGATACACCCCCACTTCCTGAGCATTCCAAGGTCCCCCTGTGCTGGGGTGGAATTTGAGAGCTTGTCTTTGATATCTTAGTTTCATCCAACTGCCTAAAATAAAGGAATGAAGTAACTGGAAAAGCAAGTCCAGGGTCAAGGCTTGATATATCAACATTTGAGGACCAAGTTAAGAAGATTTTATCTATAGAGAACAGTGGGATGGAGAAGCCAGAGAGGTAAAAACATACCAAGTAAGCAAGGGGCTCATAGAAGACAGAGCTTCCAATTTCCCAAAGAGGAAACTCCTGGGAAATAGACTCCTTCTAGAAGTCAGTTCATATGAGGATGGGAAAATCGGTCTTGAATTTTGTGAGGAGGTCATTGGTGACTCTGGTGAGTGTAAATCTGAAGGAATTTCTGAACTCAGATAATGTTACTTCACCACAAAACTTTTCCAATAGTAAGTATAATAGCTCATCGGGCTCTCTTGCGCTATTGTATGGATTATACTGAGAAATACATTTTCAAGAGTCCTGTTTGACTCCGGGTTACAGGTGACCAAAAGTAGAAATTGCATGAGATTTGAGGGTCAAAGTAAAGGTGCAACCGTGACGCTAAAGGTTTAAGACTAGATACGATGAAGGGCGGACACAGGCACCCGGAGGTTGCGGTTCTTCCTCCCTCTCCTCCATGCTTTATTCAGCCCTTTTTTGCATCTCCCTGCCCAGCTGCTCAGTGACCACCTGAGGCTAAGCTGCAGGCTCACAAGGCAACAGCTCTTCTAGACTCTCCATCAGCTCCCCTGGCCTAGTCTCACCTCAGCAGCTGGGTGTGACTGGCTACTCAGGTTTCTGGGAGAATGACTTTTGTCCCCATGCCAGTATATCAAAGGGGATAGTCTAGTGACTTCTGCAGTCTGTCAAGTCTTTCCATGTCTTCACTTCCCTGGCTCCTCCGATAATTGTACATGGTCTAATGAATATAAAAAGTTCCTTTTTCTATAATACCCATAGTGAATATACTTCCTGGCTTGAACCCTAATTGTTACATTACATTTTCTTTTCCTGAGAAATTGGTAAACTTTGCTCTTCTAAAATCGAGTCCTTCCATTGAGAAATCTTAGACTAATCTGCTCTTATTTCTTGTGCCTTCCTTGTAATTCTTTTTTAAAAAGATTTATTTATTTATGCATACAAAAGCTGGGGCACAGGCCAGAGGTCTGGGGGGGTGAGAGGATTCACCAGAGACAGAGTGGGGAACAGAACAGGCAGATTGACCGAAGTACACTGCTGAGGGGAGCAGTGGGCGAGTCAGAAGAGGTCTGCTGCGCCATGTGGGTAGCTCCCTGGCAGGGCCGGGGATCAAACTCATGCTGCAGAGGCTGCGGAAAGCTTCATAGGTTGCGCCTTAACCCCTTGCACCACCAGGGAGGTCCCATGTAATTCTTTTTTATGCTTGAAGTTAGAGCTCTTGTTTTAATTGGCTGCTTTCTTTCAGCATAAGTATTTTTGTGATTCATTTGTGTTGTTACATGTATCTATATCCATTTATTTTTATTGCTAAGCGGTATTTCATTGTATAGATACACCAAATTTATTCATTCATGTAGAATGAATTGGTAGAAATATGTGTTGTTTCTTGTTTATGGATATGAAAAATAAAACAATGTGAGCATTTGTGTACAGGTCTTTGTGTGTGGCATAGCTTTTATTTCTCTTGAGTAACTATTCAGTAGGTAAATGTGAGTTTTTAACTGCCTGTTTTCCAAAATGGTATACCATTACATTCCCACCAGAAGTATATAAATGTTCCATTTGCTTCCTATCTCTGTCCTCATGGGTATGATTATTCCTTTTCATTTTAGTGGGAGTGAAGTTGTATTTCACTGTGGTTTTATTTATTTATTTTATATATTTTTACATCATTTTTCACTTTTGTACAATGTATGCATTTTCATCTTGGTTATAGTCCCCATGAAATTCCTACCACCCATTCACCTGTGAGCTATCACCATGGTCCCTTGTGCTCTTCCCACCCTTGTTTTGATCCTACTCCCCCCCACCCCCAGAATGTCTCTGGTTTACAGTTGCCTGTTGATTTTGATTTTTACTTTAGTATAATTAGTTTTTTTCCTGATTCCTTATTTGGATCCTCTACATTCCTGCTATAAGTGAGACCATCCGGTATTCAGCTCTCAGTTTTTATTGAGCTAACATTGGTAGACAAATCTATATATGATTTAGGGGCATAGGTTTTTACATCTTCAGGTGTGTGTTAGCATATAGCACCCACCACTGAAGCACCAATAATCCTCCACCATAGTCCATGGGCTCCCTCCCAACCTTACTCTCCATCCCCATGCCCTTCACCCTGCCTTTGTGGTAGCCTCAATTCTGCCTAGATGCCTACGGTTTATTTTGGGTAGTTTTATCTGTTCCTACATTTTGTTCCTATTCCACATATGAGTGAAATCATCCCTTATTTGTCTTCTTTCTTCTGATTTATTTCACTTAGCATAATCCCTTTCAGCTCCATTCATGTCACCAGTGGCAAGATTTCATCATTTTTTATACCCCAGTAGTATTCTATTGTGTATATACATCACATCTTCTTTATCCACTCATCTGTCTATGTTCACTTAGGTTGTTTTGGAAAGAACCCTTAAAAATTAGAACTTTTCATCCATACTAAAATTTAAAATACAGTTAAAATTGTTTAAAGCCTAATGAAATTTATAATCAATGCTTAAATAATGAAGAAAGTCATCAACATTTTGTTTATTAGGTAGGAGTTTAATAAAATACACCTTCCATGAAAATAACTATAAAGGAGAAGGAAGAGGAAGAGAAATAATGAAGATTTTTGAACCTGAACCTTTATTACTACAATCCACTTTGACTCGAGGCCTGAGATATCTCCTGACCTACCTCCCGTTTCCTCTCTCTCCAGCAAAATGTTTTGGACAGCACTCCCTCTGACTGACCTAGTGTTTGTTCACAGGCTGAACTTTGAGCTCCGAAAATGAAAAATCCTCTGCAGCCCCTCTCCCAGGTCTTTATGGTTGATTCCTGAATCCCTTTGCTATACCTCCATCCTTTTATTGTGGAGGAGGTTACTTCCTTACTTGCAGGGAACTGTAAGATGGTCCAGGCTCATCTCGTATTTTCTCACTTCCAGACCTAGAATCAATCAGCTATTAACTTCTCCAAGGAGGTTTGATTCCTTTTGCTGGGAAGTGGCATTTAGAAACCAAGCTCTTGAGATATGAACACATTCTCCTAAATCATATACAATGTTGTAAACCAAAATTTTGTAAGTACACATACATACATACATACATACATACATACATACATACACACATACATAAAAGGAAACAAGCTGTTGGCACAAGGTGTGTTCATTGCTAGTATATCACTGCTAAGAGTATCAAAGAACTGGGAAACACATATATATATTCTAACTCATGTATACATTATTTATACTGTAGCTATCTACTTATAAGTGTGCATACATAGTTAATATCTAAATATTAAATATAAAGGTTATTTTATATTAAAATAAGTATGAGCACACACTGCGATTTCTAACTCAAGCTCAGTACCATAGGGTTCCTACTAGCCTTCTCCCTGCCCTTGTGTATTTGTACATCTTTCTCTGACAGGAAAGAAAATCAGTTGACTCTGTTTGCATGGGCCTGTTTGGGGATTCTCTATTCTGTTCCACTGATCTGTATTTCTGGCTTTTTTTAGTACCACACTATTTTGGTAATTGTAGCTCTATAGTGAGTCTTGAAATTTGATAGTGCATATCTCCCAGCTTTGTTGTTTTTGTTTTTGTTTTTTTCAGAATTGTTTCCGCTATTCTTGCTCCTTTATTTTAACATATCAATTTTAGAATCAGCCTGTCCATATCTAAAAACACTTATTGGGAATTTGATTGGAATTATGTTGTATCTAGAGATAACAGAAAACATTGGGAAGAATTGGCATCTTAACTATATTGAGTTTTACGATTCATAAGTATGGTCTATCCTTCTATTTATTTAGAATATATTTGGTTTCTTTCATTGATTTTTATTTACATTTGAATATGCAGAGCCCACATAAACTAAGTGGTTCGTTTTGTGTGTTGGTAGTGTATGTCTTATATTTTTAAATGTCAAATTCCAATTATTCATAACTAGCATATAGGATATAGTTGACTTTTGTATTTGACAATGTTTCCTGCAATCTTGCTAACTGCTAAATAGTTCTAAGAGGCTTTTTTGGGTAGATTTAAACATTTTTTCTATATAAATAATAATGTCTAGAAATAGTTTTATTTCTTCCTTTCCAATATAAGTACCCTTTATTTATCTTTCTTATCTAACAACACTGTCCAGGATATAAGTTAGGCATAGAATTATCATGTGATCTATCAGTTCCACTCCTAGGTATAGACTCCAAAATAATTCAAAATATACATATAAACAAAAACTTGTATACAAATGGTTATAGAGGTGCTATTCATGATAGCCAAAAGGTAGAAAAAAAACAATATCTGTGGGCTGATGAACAGATCATCAAACTGTGGCACATCCATACAATGGAATATTGCCTAGCCATAAAAAGGAATGAAGCATGAATGCATGTCACAACATGGATAAACTTTGAAAACATAATGCCACATGAAAGAAGTCAGACACAAAAGGCCACATATTGTATGATTCCATTTAAAGTAATGATCCAGGAAGACAAAACCCAGTTGTGGTTGCAGGGGCTGGTGGAAGAGTGTCATGAAGAATGACTGCTTATTAGGTATTTTGGACTGGTGAAAATATTCTGGCACTAGCTAGATAGAAGTGATGTCTGCTCAATGTTGTGAATGTACAAAATGCCACCATATTATTTAAAATGGTGAATTTTAAATTATATATTACATAATATATATATTATTTAAAATTCACCATTTTAAATATATGTAATATATATATCATTTATGCAATATGTATATATTTGCCACAAAAAGATCTAAATGTAAAGTATTTCTTTTACATTTAGATTTGATAGATTAAAATGTAAAACTTAAAAGTATAGAACTTCTGGAGAAAACATGGAAGAAAAGCTTGTGATCTTGTGTTACCAAATATATATGATATGAAACAGCATGATACATTAAAAATATTGATAAATTAGACTTTATAATAAATTGTGCTTTTTGAAAAGAAAACAAGCTGGATACTAGGAGAAAATAATTCCCAAACACATGTGACTTGCATCTAGAATATGTAAAATAACTCTCAAAACTATAATAAGAGGGCCTCCCCTGGTGGCGCAGCATTTGAGCGCTGGGCTGCAAGGCTGCCCGCGGCCTCTGCAGCGCTGGTTCCATCCCCGGGGCCACCGGTGAGGGTCCCACATGGCGTGCAGACCTCTCCTGCCCCGCCTGCTGCTCCCCTCAGCAGTGTACTTCGTCAGTCTGCCTGTTCTGTTCTCCACTCTGGCTCTGGTGAGTTCTCTCACCCTCCTGCGCTTCTGACTATACCCAGTGCTTGTATAAATAAATAAACAAATCTTTAAAAAAATAGCATACATGAACTGCCTACCAAAGAGAAAATTATTTGGAAAAAAAAAAAACTATAATAAAACAAAAACGGACAAAACTTGAGCAAACACTTCACAAAAAAGGGTAAATAAGCACATGGAAATATGCTGAACATTGTCATTAGAGAAATGAAAACTGGAATCACAATGAAGTACCTGTAATTCACACCTGTTACATGGCTAAAATCAAAAAGCCTGACCATACAAAGTCCTTTATGGGATATGGACAAACTGGAATTCTCATACATTGCAAGTTTCACATAAAATTGAACATACGACCCAGCAATCTCACTCTGAGGCATTCACTTAAATCAAGACTTACGTTCATACTAAAATCTATATACATGAATGTTTTTCTATATTGATTTGTCAGTCATTTACATATCTATATTACATTTTGCACACCTCCATATGTGTACATCCTTTACTCCTCCTCCACCAATACGCCCATGCCAATGACCTCCCCCGGTTCCCTCTTCCCTCCATCCTATTCCTTCTGGTAACCAGTACATTTTCCACAGTGTAAGAATTATTTTTGCTGTGCTTTGCCCCGTGTGTTCTTTGCTTATTTATATTCCACAAATAAATAAATTCATCCTTTATCTATCTTTCACTTTCTGACTTATTTTCTCAGTATCAAGATCCATCCATATGTCCCGAAAACACCATTTCATCTTTTTTTTAATAGCTGAGTATTGATAAATGTTTTAAGCAGCTTTATTCATATTGCCCAAAACTCAGGGTTTGGTGGGGGAACACACATATTTCTTTTAATCCGTGTATCATCATGATAGTGGTAGATAGGTGACTATTCAGGGAAACCCACAGAAATGTAAAACACCAAAAGTTAGTGGTGGTGTACATTTACATTTCTAAAGGGCTATAGGAGGAAACCAAAATGGAATGCAAACTTAAAAAGTGAAATTAACTTACAAATGAATAATATTATACTGAAAGTGGTGGGGAAGAGAAGACATAGCCTACATGACTTATGAAACAGTATCTCACTGGCTATAGTAAGGATATAGAGGAACAGTACTGGACATAAATACTATAGTTAATCAATTTGTTTCTCCCAAGGACTTGAGTTAGTAATT